TAGAGAAATGAGCATTTCTGTAGCACAGTACTCTGCTGGTATTTACATATTCACTCCAAGGAGAAATTAATTGTGTTCCCTAGGTAGCTTTTTCTTTCCTTAGAATACAAAAGTAGACAATTAGTTCAGATGCTGATAACAAGGAGATATCATGATATAAATGATACATCACGATATATCTAAATGATATAACATTATTTAAATCCTAGCCCAGGCACTTTATTTTCACACCTTTTTACCAATAAGACACTTTCTCCTTCCCTCTTTAGACTACTCTAGGAGGTTTTTTTTCTTCCTGTTAAGTATTCAGGCACTATATGGGACTGCAACTATGGGGAAAAGACTGGGGTTACAATGAAAGAGAAGTGGAAAGTTATAGCCACAGTTATGAGCAATACAAGGGGAAATGTGGCTGCTACTCCCTGTATGGAATGCAGTCAGCATGCTCAACTTCCCCCACACAACACAATCTAAGGGGGACTAAAGGGAGGATAGATCAGAGTGGGGACACCAGAGCCAGGCTCTGCCAAAACCACTGCAGAGAAGGAAACTCAGTGGTACCTTTAGCTGATAAACAGCACAGCAGCTGAAAGCCAAGGGCCACAAAAGAGCATGTCTTGCTGCTGAGCCAGCAGCCCCAGGGGAATTCCTCTCCTCAGGTGTAACACTGACACACATCTCCATCCCAGCTTACCTCAGAGGTGATACTGCCTCCAAGGCACAACCACCCCTCACAGAGCACAATGCGTGGCCAAGCTCCATCTAAATGCAAAGAAATGGTATAAAAGTGCAAGATTTTCCATAACCCAGAACTATCCTGCGCTGTGGTCACTGGTGTACTTTATATTTCATAAACATTTCCAGAATGAAACAGCATTGGTTAGTGTCTTATGATTGGAGATAATGATAACAACTGGTGCATAAGATTAATGTATATTCATGAGCAGAATTATAGCTGTGCATGAAAGCACTAGATTAGTGCTTGGTAATCAACATCTGCTTTACCTTTTTTTTTTTTTAAAGTTAGCACAGTCACTAATCAAAGATAATTACGCCACTGCCATTTGAAATATTTATCACAAGTTCTGTAGTAGGAAGAACAAGAAATAACAGTTTTTTCTATACAGTTACATGCAGTACTAACTAAAGCTAAGCCAATAACACTGTGTGTGGCTTTCCAAAGCTTTTTAGCAGAGTTTTGGCATGGAAATAATAATTGTAAAGAAGTAATATTTTTTAATCTGAATACAACCATCTACTTAAGAATCACGACAAGTTGATAGTAAATATTAATAAACCATCTGCAGTAGAAAGTCCAGAATCACTTAATATCCTCATGATGGTAAAAAACTAAGGCACAAAATGGAGTAAACTTCTGAAAAAGTGACAAAAGCAAGGACAGCATTCATCCTCTTGCTCTCATTCCTCAGATTTAGACAACCTTCTGAAAATAAGAATGAAAAGGAAAGATCCTTTCCATTCTTTTCAAACTAGAGAAGGAAATGAGTAATGTTTTCATTGGGGATGACTACATATTAATTCTATAAGAAGGATAAGTAAGAGGGCAGCATAACACTAGTTCATTTAAAACTACAAAATACAGAAATTCATACAGGAAATTCATACACAAAATAAAAATGGAGGAAAGTTTCTAACTTCTTAAATTTGGATTTGAATTAGATAACATTTATGCCTGCTCAGATTAGATGGGTAATTTCTTTACAAAGAAAGAACAGACCCAGTGACCTCAGCCTTTCCTCATAAGGCTTCTTCTCCAGACCCTTCACCATCCTCCTGGCTCCCCTTTGGACGCTCGTGTATGTATTCTAAATGTCCATATATGTTTGTTTAAAGCCAAATTACTTAATTTGGCTTTAAAAATTATCCAAATATTAATTACCTCTTATTCTGTGGGGATTTTTTAGCTTTTTATAACAGGAAGCAATAATTTTCCATTTGTGTGAATCATTGAATGGGAATGCGTAATCATAATAGGTGAAAATTATAAACTCTTAATATTATCTATTGTACCAGGAAACCTTAAACTTCCACTAGCATTGAGATGGGATACACTGCTTTTCAAGAGTCCCACCCTGTCAGTTAACACCAAAACAATTTTATGCTGTAAAAACCTGGAGCTAGTCACTAGGTGTGTACGGTACTGCAGAGTGTCATTATGTCGGTATGGCTTTATTGGCACAGCCCTGAGGCTCACATCACCTGGGCCCTGCAAAATTCTGCTTCAAGTCCTGGCAGTCCTGCCTCTTCCCTGTGGCTTTTGGAGCAGTAAAATCAGTTCCGTGCAATTTACTCGGGAAGGGTCGTTCAGGAAGGATCCTAAGCCCAAGATGCCATCAACAATCTGTGAATCTTCTGGCACTTTTCAGATCAGTTCTGTTCAAACATCTAGCCATAAAATTAATTTGTGAGAGCTGTGCTCCAGCTCCAGTGCCTTACTTCACTTCCCATTCTGTGATTCTTTTTTTACTGGCAATTCAAACTCCAGTAAAACCCCAAGGAAAGCCACAGCGTGAAGCTTTGTCTAAAATGTGACGCGCTGCGTAGGTGTGTGCTCAGATTTCCCAGAGTCAGACCTTAGCTCTGTCCTTGTTGACCATTAACCAGGCAGAGCAATTTAACCCCTTGGAAGTCAATGGCTGCATGCAGCAGGAGCTCAAGGTCTGCTCCTGGGCACAGCACGACCAGGACCTGCCCCACAGCCACCAGATGGGTGCCTGGCATCAGCCTGCCCTTCTCTGCTCCCGTGGGGCTCTGCAGCTGCCAGGACCTCACGCTGCCATCCACAGACACTCTCCTCGCCACAGGGACTCTCATTGAGACTTCTCCAGCCAGCAGTTCTGACTGAAGGACAGCCCTCACAAATCAAGGTTAAGCATCTTTCCAAATCCAAGTTTTAAGGCGAATTTTCAGCGTGCTAATGCAGAATGGAAGATGAGCCCACATCCTACTGCAGCATGGACTAAGAGGCATCTGTGCATCAACCAGTTGCCACATTTTGGCAATGGAGCCAGGTCTGGCTCTTCTGCCAATGCCAGCAGAGAGATCTTTGCCACAAAAAGCCTCTGGCAGGCAGCAATTGCAAAGTCCTGCGCACTCGGGGCCGCACAGAGCCCACGCTGGCTCAGAAGTGGCTAAAGCTGGGACATGAACAAGGAGATGCAACAAACAGGCAGGAAACCAGTGAATGCCCCACTGCATTGCTTTTTAGGATTAGTATCTTCTCCATCATATTTATGAGAACACAAAGCTCTCAGGTAGTCAGGAATACAACCATGCTACTTCCCAAAGACAACAATTAAAACATAATCAGCAATCACTGTTTGGAACGGAATAATCCTTAAAAATGCTTAGTTTGAAATCCAAACAACTCAGTCTGAAATACTGCTGCTGCTTGAAAAATTATTAACAGAGAACGTTTGTTTCTCTAGGCATCAACTTCTTCAGGTCTTAGAGCAGCTTTGCTTGTCTGTAGATATTGAGGTGGTGATGAGCACTGCAAAAAGAGATGAGAAATAGTTCTCTACTCCACTGCAGAGAAATAAACACATCAACATGCCACTTACAAGCAGAAATTACTGCAATCTCAGTGCTTGGAAATTAATGATGGGGGGGAGGTGACACATGCACAGCCACTGAAAGCAGGGCAGGATTTTATTGGCAGTATCCACTCATTTATGCTGCAAGTTCACATTCCTCATATGCTCAAGAATTAGAGTCCATTAAGTGGGAGGGAACAGAAGAATAATAATTTTTATTAATTGTCACAACACACTGGTGGGGGGGAGTGAAGAAGAGGAATACACCACTTCTTTGTTTTCTATAGAACAAACCCTCCCATTTCCATGAAAATGTGCTTAATTTAAAAAACCACAAAAAACGGTGTGTTCAGAATCACACCAGTTGGGATTTAATAACACAGCTGCTCTGTGGATCTTCACGTCTCCAAAAAGGCTAAAGCAGCTGCCTGCCAGTAAAAACTGGATTGGGAACAACCCACAGATATGGATATATTGTTGGTAGCCTCTGAGTGGGCTGGAGAACCTCACAGAGAGCCTTGAGGCAGTAGCAGACCATGAATAGCTGCCTTTCCTGGGGCTGGTCAGCCTCAGAGTGGTGTTAAAGCCACAGGAGGTCCTGCTGGGATCCTGCTGGGAAGGGGAGGGCAGAATGGCACACAGCATTTTGGGAAGACCAGACTAAAAAACGACAGGTCTTGGTTTCTGGATACACTGGAACTCAATGAAGTTGATGCCCCATTCTGTCCAGTTTCATATCATGGGTAGGAAAAATAATGGCTTTAAGTGATTAATTACACAGCTAATTTTGTTCCTTAATGCTGCACTATGCGTTGAATATATCCTCCAAATGATGTGAAGTGGTGTAAAATAACCTCTGGATCCTAGGCATGCTCCTTCCTGGCTACTGCAAAAATTAACCCTGTTCTGGATGAATAATCATTCAGAGCAGAAAGGCTTTTGGATCTACTCTTTCTAGATGGACTGACGTGAATTTGATGGGCTGGAGGAAGCTCTGATCAATTGTGCAAATTTTCTCACAACACCTTGCATATATGGTTAGGTCTCAGTTAAAAATCAGGTTGCTTGGTCCAATCAGTGTGGAATTTATTTTAAAAAATAGCCTGGAAGTGCAGGATCCCAAGCATTAAACTAAAAGTGCTTTTGAATCAGGGACCCAATAAATGAAGAACCAATACATTTTGCTTAAGAACTGAAATGCCTTTTGCCAGATCTAATATGCCATTTATGATGACACATAATTTATGATGATGCAAGCCACATGTATTAATTACTGCTAATTTTATGCACTGTTCAGAGTAATTTGGGTTGCACTGTTATCAAGCATTTCAAAGTTTCCATAGTCTCTTAGAATTACACTCCCTGATGAAAGTTGTGGTTGCTCTGCCTGGAAAAGAGGAGGTTTCATGAGGACCTCACAGCAATGCTCCAGTACCTGAAGGTTCCTGCTGGGAAAGCAGAGAGGGATCCTTCACCAGGAACTGCAGAGACAGGGCAAGGAGTATAAACTGAAAGAGGGGAGATTTAGGCTGGGTATTTTGGGAGAAATACTGTACTGTGAGTATTGTGTGGTGAGACACTGGAACAGGCTGCCACTCTGCCTCCCCTCATGCAGGGAGGGGTTGGGATTAGATGGTCCTTAAGATCCATTCCAACCCCTCAGCATCCTATGATGCTGGAATTCTTCATTAGCTTAGCACACATTTCAAAGTGCAGTGGGCTGTTTCTGTTTCACCATTTTGGTTATGCAAGATCATAAGCTGCTTTATGAATTATATTATAAAAGCACGTTCATTCTTAAGTTGCAATTACATAGAAAATGTGAAATCAAATCAGAATGCTGGGGTTTGCAGTCAGATTAGCAGAAGTACAGACATCTCTAAGACAGATAGCACCAGCAGGGCCAAAAGCTGCAAATAGGTCCAGTTCCTTGGAGTTAACTAAATGTCAGTAGTAAATTCAGCCACTGTTTGAAAAGGAATTTACTTTTTCTGTGTTTGTTAGAGAAAGGTTTGTGGCTGCCTGTATGACTGCTTCCTTACTCACATCACCAAGAATCCTTCATTCTCCATTTTTTTCATGCAGAGGCAAAATAAAATCCTGACCTAGTTCTCTCCTGAAAGAAGGTTTGCTGCCCTTTGTGCGACATCTGATCACCCGAGGCAAAGAGAGGGCAGAGATGAAGAGTGAACAGAATTACCAAAGCAATGTTCTTGCCACTGAAAAGAGGGGTACTCTCCTGCTAGCCATCACAGAAATGGTGCAGGGAGAACAAGGGGTTCATTCTGAATGCAGAACAGCAGTAATGTCAAGATCCATTAAAGCTTCGCCAAGAACAGGAAAATCTCACATAGAGAATCCCCAACAGTCTCCCACTAGTGAGGCATGACATCTTCACAACTTGGAATAGAATACTTAAGTTTTTTGTACAAGTCTTACATTTTCTGAGGATAATTCTCCACACCTGTCATCCTGGCTTCTGATAGCAAAGTCAAAGATTCTCAGAATAATACTTCAGAACACATTAAAGGAAGGAAATATCATTAAGAAAATGCCCAACAACTGCAGTGTTTGAAAGAAACTATTAAAAAGAAAGTCACTGTGTAACAGAAATGTACAAAAGCACATCTTGATCCCCATTCCAAGTACCTGGAGCTCAGTTGTATCAATCTATCAGGAAGACTGTGCCTAAAAATTCATAACTTGGGAGTTACTTACAGCTTACAAAAATTCCAGGTGAGCAAAACAGAAGAGTAATTCCAACTTTTTTTAGTAGCTTCCATCAGAAGTGAGAACAACAGAAAAGAGATGTTTGGCCAGGATGAGAAGAGGACAAGGAAGTAGAAGGACAAATTAATCTCTTTTGAGAGCCACTAGATTTTTGGTGGTTAAGACTCTCTAACCCTTCTTCTGTATACATTAATCTCTTAAAGATATCTTACAGAAGCAGCTTTAATCTTTCAGTAGATGCTGAAAATGAACAAGTGTGTTGTCCTTGCTGCAGCAGAGGACTAAGACCCACTAATAAGAAGAAATATAGTCCATGGTGTTTCTGTGACTGAACATTTACAGTGACAGAAAGGATATAAATAAAGCCTGAGGATTTCCTTCCATCCTTCCTTTTTAGTTTACTTTGTGGAAGCACAGAACTATAATCCTCTTATTCAGAAGGACAAAAGGGAAAGGAAGACAAATCTTTAGTCCAACTCCCCACCTTTATTCCATACACAGGAGCTATACTAATTTATTCCCTTGGCTTTGACCTTTCCAAAGGAAATAGTCTTACTTTGCTCCAGCATTTATCACTGGGCCAAAATGTCAGCACTGTCAGTGGTGTTTTTGAACAGTACTTGTAACAATGGCTTGCATGCAGTTCTGGAAATGGAGATTCTGATATGCTGGTGGATGGATGCGGTATCTCCTCAAGGGGCACAAACAAAATGGAATATCACAATCACTTTTCCCCAGTACAAAGACTCACAACTTGATTAGAAAAAAGGTCATGGAAGGCTTTTATTGCTAAATATATTATGTTTGTGAAGGCAGTAAAGGCAGCAGCAAGTTAGCATAAATAGGTTTTCTTTACCTGTACTGTGATTCTGACAATTTTCCTACCTATTTGTTTTTCTTGCACTTTGTACTGATTTGTTCAATAATCTGAATGGCTGTTTTCATCTGAAGCACAGTGCATTATCAAGACTGCCTTGTTTTTTCCTTCTTTTCAATTAATTGTCTGAAGTCAACATACTGGGTGTTCTGATGAAAACAACACAGACTTCACCAACCAAAAGAGGCATTTCCCATGTTAGCAGTCACCTTGCATACCACTTAATGAGGCACCTATATTATGACCAGCAAAACACTTATCTATTCTAATTGAGCTGTAAAAAGACTGTGCTTTATATATATACACACATATATGGTAAGTATGTTTTGTGGTTTGTCACCGTCAGTAACCTTGTCAATGTACTGGTAATGTGGTGTTTTATTCCTAAGTCAGAACAGAAAAGAATTTGAAGCAAAAATTGCTGCAAAGATTTAAAGCAGGTAACAGAATTTGTCTCACAGGAAAAACAAAAGAAAAGAGATTAAGAAACTGGGGACAGGAAGGAGATATCAACCAGCCTGTTGTTTTCCCCATGTGAATTAATGAGGGATTATGATTGTTCTTAAAAGATTTAATTCCAACTTGTTGGGTTACTGTAATTTTATCATTCTCTAATGGATTACCATTTCTTGAAGTGAGTGTGATACTGGAATCCACTTCTACTAACTTAACACTAGTTTGACTAGGGTGGCTCTCCCTGGAGTCAGACAGGGCAGGTTGAACCAGTTTCAGTCAGTTCCTCATGTCTGAAATTAGGCCAGACTCGATTGCTTATGGACCCACTGTCAGGGTCTATTTGTAGTCACATCTTTTTGATATACTAAATCATTCTAAGATTGAGTATAAGTATGACTATGCTAAAATATATTAGATATATGTCCTATAACTTAATTGCTAGGAGATACAGCCTATTTTTAATTCTCTTGAATCTTACCTCTTCCCTGGGTAGAGCATGCATTCTTCTATGTACAGAGTCCTCTAAAAATTAAAATCTACTCTCAGGCAAACAGATGCCTGGTGACTGACTGAGGAAAAAAAGGTATGAAAATAATTGAAGTTTGTATTGCAGTTTGCCACAGAGCATCAATACCGTAATTTGAGTTATTTAAGCACCTTTGCATAAGGATACTTTTTATTTCACTGCTGTCCACAGGTTATGTTCTCAGAAGGGACATGTTTTAATCAATAGAGCCCCAGCATTACCAGCATTGTGGTAAGATTCTGCAGCATCTGCTTTTTTCAAGGTCCATGAACATATTGCAGAAAGCTTCTGTGTGTCTCTAGGGACCCTCTCCATCCTCATCCCCACAGTCTTGGTGCTACTCTGTCTTTATGGGATGCCAACAACTTCTTTCAGCCATCAAAGTGCTCGAAGCAGGGCTGAAGTTAATAGCTCAGACCATGCACACTAATGGTTCTTAGTAAATTGATATGTTATTATTGCTTAATTTTGGTAAACATTCTTACGGGAAAGTAGTGTCTCAATTGCAGCCCATCTAAAATAAGCTCATTTATGCTAATGTCTTTCTCCTTGACACTCAGTAAATTCTTCCTAATGCATTAATTATGACTCCAGATAGACCAATGATTATTTCATATATGCTAATTAGGAATCATTTTATTCAGTCTGCCACACATATCAGTAAACATGTGGAATGAATTTCCCACAGGGAGGATAAAAAGACAATGATTTTCCTTCCAATGAAGCTTAGAGAATTTACCCCACAAACAAGATATAATTAGAGAGAAAGGAGGACTTAGAAAAATACACTTACAGGTGTGAGAGACACCAAAAACATGTTCTTTCTCAGTGATAGAATAAAGCAGATTCTTAGCTAATTCCTTAGCCAAAATCTCATTCTCAGTCAATGAATTTTTACTATATATGATTAGGCAGTGCAACCACCTTCTACAAAGTAAATAAAAATTACCATCAAATTAGTACCATTTGTAGCAGAACAAATTGATATCCAAGAAAAGTGTAATTTTAGCCCTAGTTGTGGAAGAGATAGAAGTCTGAAGAAAAGTGTGTGGCATATCACTGTCATGTGCATGCATTGAATGTCAAGGTTAAAACATGGTGTAGAGAAGTTTTTGCTGCTAATACATGATCTTACTGCTACTAAATCCCACAATTCTACAGCTGGATAATGTATGCCTCTTGTTCATGACTGCTGTATTACTAATAAGGATGTCTCCACAAAAACATAATTTCAGGCTTAAAACCAACCAAAGAGAAACACAAAATGAATTATAAGAAGTAACATCACTTAACATACTGTTAAGCACAAACTCTTAGAACCTCATGACATAAATGATAATTTATTACAGGATGAAAACTGGCAATTTTTATGTGCAGGTCAGATCTCTAAATATATATATAGGGTTAACTTGGAGAAAAAAATTATTGTGTGTGGATATGACAATTTTTACTTGATTTTTCTTTTCATGTGTTACATCAAGTTAACTCTTTATAAGTTTACACTCAGGGCCTAGAGTTCTGCCAAGTACATTCTAAAAACATGAATAAATACTATAGAAGGCTACAGTCTAAATTCAGTTACCAATTCTGGTGCATGAGCAAAAAAATTTGGTCTTCCAAAATCAGCTGTTTCTGTATTTGAAGGTTGACTGGTTAATATAGATCTAAGAGTAACTTGTATAAATCAGAAAATATCAAAGGCTGAATGAACAGGCTATATATGGTTCAGAAACAAATAATTACTCTGAAGGCATCTACTTTTTGGGATATGCCATTTTTCTATAAATTCTCTTTCAATTGTAAGCATAGACCTACATTATAAAAAAAAAAAAAAAAAAAAAAAAAAAAAAAAAAAAGAGTGAGAAATTGCCTTTGAGAAATCCACAGCTAATTCTGTTGTGAATCCTGTGACTGCAGAAGTGGGAAGGACTGCACTGTCCTAAGAGAGACACGTACTATTGCCTGCAAGGAAACAAAGTACAAATATTTACCTTAATTATTCTAAAGTCTGAGAGTGTTGGGATGAAACCTGGGCCAGTGTCTAGAATCTAAAAAAGTGAATGTCATCCTACAAAGATCCCAAGGAATATCAATGAACCTTATAACAAATTAATGCTGTCAGATGTACTTTTGTGTGTTAGTTAGGCTGAATAAAATGAAAGCACCTTTCCTTAGGCAGATGAATTGAAACTTAGAGTGACTATAAATTAATGCACAAATTAATGTAAAATTAATGTATTCTTAATACTTAAGAATATGTTGGTTCTGGATTTTGTGTTTCACAGCAGTGAGCAGTCCATAAAAGCTGTTGGTTTGTGTTTGTTGTTTTGTTGAGGTTTTTTACTTTCCTGGTTTTATTTTTTGGGAATTTGAAGAACAGTTTTGATCAACTGAGACACAGAAAATATAGTAGTGAAGATATGCCATCAAGAGTAAACATCCTTGTGTGAAATCATCCCTCTACATTCACACTACTATGTTCACATTTTTTTCAAGCAAGGCAGGTCCTAACCTTAAGGTTCAGCAGGCATACAAAATTATTCCTAATCAAGGTAAAAAAAGGGCTGAACTCTGCTAGTGACTCTCTGAAATGTTAAGGGGAAAAAGTCTAGGATTATTAAAATTAACATCAGTCAGCTTAGACAGAAAATCCTTACCTGTCCAGTTAGATTGCTCAGCCATTCAGACCCCTGCAGATAAGGGCTACTTACAGGCTGTTTAAACTCTGCTACACTTCTAATGAATGCAGAATGGATGAGTTAGCAAAGCAAGAACCTTGGGGAAAAAAATAGGAGAAAATGTAAATTCTAATTTCATTCATGTACTTCAGTGTATGGGGGCTGATATGCAGTTGAGTGGTTGCTGCAGTTTATGGAAAAGGTAATGAAACATCAGATGGGTACTGTTCAACAGCATTACCCATAACAATCACATTGTAAGCTATTTGCAGCTTTAAATACATAAATATATTACAGCTAATGGATATGTGTTTACAGCAACACAGCAAGGTTATTTTGCCACTATTTTTTTAAAGAGAAGAAATTGAAATACTGTTACTTGCTTACTGTGTTGTTTAAAAGGGAGACCATTCCCTTAACGTTAATTTAAACCAAATTATGAAGAGAAAAGTTAAACTCTTGTACAATGTATTGAAAGTTGATTAAATTGTAATGATGGTCCCTTGCTGGTAGTAGAGCAGTAGCACGCTTCACTAGCTTTTCAATACACTACCTTAATATTCAGATATATCTGTCTCACAAAACATCAAATGAAACCCCATGTAAATCCAAATTTTTACTGATTTTTAGTATACAGAAGTAGGGGAAATTTCAATGAACTCTTTTTTTTTTTTTTTTTTTTTTTTTTCCACAGTATGGACATTAAATCCTCACCCACATGGTTGATCCTGCAAGCACAAGAGCATCTGCTTGGAGGAACAGTAGGATAGGCACAGTTTGCTACTGACTCCACTGTCCTCTGCAGCATTTCACACCTCTGGGGGTTTCAGGATTCCCTCAGGTTTGTGTTTTGTGTTTCTAACATACCATGATTAAATCCAGCACGATTAAGTCTGTGACTGTGGCTTGCAGATAGGTGCATCTCCTCAGTCAGGCAAGGAAGACTGGGAGAAATATTAATAACACCAATTAATAAAAGCTTTTCAGTGCAGCTCTGCTGAAGAGTCAATGTGAACGCAGGTTCCAACCCAGGTGGCATTTCTAAACCCATGACAGAACAGTGCATCTCAATGTCTCACAGCCCAGTGCTACACATACAGGACTAATTTGCCCATCAGTGTTTATTTTTTATCAGCAACTGGTTTTGAGCAGCTTTCTATTTTTCATAAGTTTCATAAGAATACAAAGAAGAAACTGATTTCTTGATCAAAATTTGCATTTATATTCTGACATTCAACCCAGTTACTTTTATTTGTTTATGAAAATTCTTGTACCACTGCTAACATTTTCATGAAAATGGTATCACTGTGCTCCTTATAATATTCCAGAGGGAAGGGTCTGAAAATGCTTTGCTACATTTCAACTTACATTTGTTTAAAAGCACAGGATTTGTTTTCAATCCATTTAGAATTTGATTACTTGTTTGTGCAGGTAGAGAAGCAGTGCTGAAGCAGGAAGAGGAAGCAGTAAGTCAGGTACTTAATTTTCAAATCTGGGAATTATTTTATTTTTCAGCAGGCACAGAAGTTATCTTCTGGACAAGACTCCCATCAATTATACGAGAAGTTCTAGAACTTTCATTAAAATGGATGGCAGTTTTAATTACTTAATACATAATTGCCTCACAACTAAGCTCAGTCATGTTTGTGGAGATGATGTGGGAGCACAGCAAAAACAAAACCAACAAAACCAACTCCCAACACATCTCCAGTGAGAGGAGGTCCTATACTGAGGCATTTTCCTGGTACCTCACTTGGAGAGGTCCTGGCAGGAACCACGCCTCTATTCAGCTTTGATCTTTGGCATTGCATGACCAGCACTAACACACTTAGATCTAAAGTGAGAGCTGAGTCCTTTTGGTATTCTAAAAATAAATGAGAACTATACGCAGGTAACACTGGAGAAAATTCACTTTTGCAGTTTGTTTAGTAAGATGTTTGTAATGTGTGGGTTTGCAAATAAAATATTTTAGCTTAAATTAAGTCAGAAAGAAAAATCAGGAAATGGAGAATGTAAAGAAAACCTTAGCAAGGCACCATAGGAAGGATTAACTCTTTACCTTCATGCTTAGAAGCAGCCAGGAGAAAATAAACACACTCATTATTACATCCATTTACTGTAGTTGAAATAAAATACCTTATATTGGTGATCACACAATCAGAGATGCATTCTGTTTTGGAGCAGGGTTCCCCCAACACTGAGCTGAAATCCATGCTGAGGTTCCCACTGCAGCTGCAATGACTCACTGACACACTTCTCTGCTTTCAGCTTACCACATATCAGCCTCAACCTCATAAAATATTCAGCGTTAGGAAATTTCACATCCCATTAAGTTTACAAAATTCTATTTGATATTTCTTTAAGATGATTTCTACAGATATTATTTTGTTATATTTCATGATCAGTTTGGTAAAGTGGCTTTTTAAAAATCTCTTCTTTGGAATATTTTTCTCCCTAGGAGCTCTTTTCCCCACTTATATTTAGGAGTCAAGAGGATCCTGCTTGACCAGAAAAGTTGACCATTTTTTGGTCTCAGTAAAAAAGAAAACAACATTGAAAAAAAAACTGATGTGATTACTAACCAATATAATTGAGAATTGAGTTCCACTCTATCTGTGTATGACAGCAAGAACATTCAGCACTCATACAGAAAAAAAAACAGAAAAATAAATATTCAGCAAATATAAATATTCTACATATTATGTAGAGCAAAATCAAAAGCCCACTGATTAGAAAGAGACTGCAGAAAACTGTAATCAAAGTTTTGATTTGAATTTTTTTATTCTTTGGCTGTTTCAAAGGCTTCTTGATTCTGTAACATAATATCAGAAAATTTCACAAAAGGAAGCTCAATGGGCATCTGAAATGTTGGAGTTGCTCTTCACCTTCTCTATCATTATTCCTGGTATTTCAGAGAAGCATATCCAGCCTGAATGCATCCTCAGATTACTTGGCAGAAATGCTGTGTGCCTACAAATCACCAGTGTGCTTGTCTGAGCAGAACACCCTTGGGGAGAAAGGGATGTGTGAGCCCTCCTGCTTCCATACAGAATCAAAAACCTGAGAGAAAACGAGCTCAACATATAGACCTAATTCTAATCATTCATGTCTTCCACGCCTGTTAGCTGAGCACTCCCATTGCTCCACACCTGCGTTGGTAATCACTACAGAGTATGACTCGAACATCAGACAGTGCTGTCATTAGGAAGTAATTAGTTTTAATTTGTTGTTAATGATAAAAGAACCAGCGGTGCAGGTTTGTTTCAAACTCTGCATCTCTTTTACAATGATTTTTAGTTAGCCCCATTTTTATGATGCTGTGGGACTACCACTCCTGATTACATTACTCCTGTTCATACAGGTATTCATCTTTCACGGATAACGTGGCCTGTTTCTTATGAATGCCTTAAGCCTTAGAATAAAAGCACTCAATTTAGGTTCTTTAGAAATAGTGTCTCATTGTAACCACATAGGAGATTGATTAAATACCTTGCTGTCCAAATGACTTCAGAAAATTAATGGACCAAATCAAAGTAAAAACCTCTATGCTCTTTTCTTGTAACAAAATAAGGACAACCTAAACGTAAAAACTTGCCAAGAAGATTATATAAGCAATCAGCTGCTAACAATGCTTTTCTAAATGAGCCAATATATCAACATTACACAGAATTCAGCCTTTATTCAGGCTTCACTGGGAAGAGCAATTATACCAGAGAAATAATAGTAGAATTTTCTCTCTTGTTAATAAAGGGTAATAGTAGAATTTTGGAGGTTATCATAAAACCAGTAAGGTGTTTTCAAACTGAAAGATGGGAAATTTAGGTTAGATACACAGAAGAAATTCATTACTGTGAGGGTGGTGAGCCACTGAAACAGGCTGCCCAGAGAAGCTGTGGGTGCCTCATCTCTTACAACCCACATCTAAGACAGGGTAACTTAGGCTCCCGTCAGGAAATCCCTGGAGGTGAATTAGAGTGAAAGAACACTGAATGACCAGCATATATAGGAAGAAGTTTTATTTTAAAATATCAATGAACCTTTCCAACTGCAGTGGAAAGAATGTATGTGGCCATTTTGGTTACTTTCTATAGAAGTATGAAAATTCATGAAGAAAATAGATAAGGAAAAGAAAAGAAAATGAAGGAGAGGATAGTGGATAGTAAATAGCACAGGGAAAAGATATCTGTGGATCTAGCAACAACTTTACTGGAAGTACACAGGAAAAACCCATCAAGACAGCAACTAGTCCTACCTCACTTCTTCATGGAGAATGCCTTTACATTATGTTTTTTGGGGAGCAAAAATATGTCTTTGTATATATTTAGTATGTGATACATTTGTAGTTCCTTGAGATCCATTGATGCTACTGAACTGGAACTAATTACTAAAAATCTTCAGAAAGAACTGTCAGTAAAATTGGTTGCTTGCAGAGAAAAGACTTCCATGAATTTGGAAATATGTTTTAGATTTTTTTTCTCTGTGCTCTTACACACCTACATCTGAGAACAAATTGATAGCTGACAGTCAAAAAATGAAGCAATTAAAAGAGCAGAATTTAAGTTGCTGCTAGTTTCAGCAAAACTGCAGTAGAAGAGTTTGAAGTTTAAGAATAAAAGATGCAAAAAGAGGTAAGGAACACCAACAATCTGAATCAGGCATTTAAATGAATGGCCAAACAAAGGCACTGAGGGCTCACAGTAAAATGCAGGACATAAGGACATTTTGCAGGAGATAACCTTGGAAGACATGCTGCAAGCCTTTCTAGAATATCCACCTTAAGATATGCCAATTTAGTGAAGGAAGACAGCTTCAGACAAAAGAAAAGTTGATGATATGTGGGTATGAACGGGAGATTTCCACAAACAGGTGAAGAGAGCATCCCTTCACATCTCAAAGGCCCAGGGAGCACAGGAGCAGCCTGGGCAGAGAAGCCAGCTGGCCAGCATCTGCAAAGTGTGTATCCAGGGAGAGGATGTGCAACACCAGCTGTGGATATACACCATCCACAGCATCTGCTGCTGTGGGGCTGAGCTGGGTCATCGCTGCAGCAGCTTTCCCTCTTACCATAGACACCACATCCTGTCCCTCTGCTGAAATTAAAAACCAGTCTCCCACTCCCACACTTGAATAGGTTTTTGTGTTTAAATTACATCCATTAATTTCAGCATTCCAGTCTGCAGAAGTCTGCACAACAGCTCATTACAACTTTCCAAATTTCATAACAAACCCAAGAATTCTATCCTTAAGTTTCCCTCTATTAAAATGTGCTGGCAGAAAATGCAACATTCCAAGTATCCTAACATTGTGTCAAGGAAAAATTGTGAACGTTTCCTTCCTTGAAAGAAAGCATTGCTATGTTTAAAATGTTATATTTCTCCAACAACCCATCTCTAATGTGAAAATTAATGTGCCCTGCCTGAGAGCCTCTGCAATAATATTGAATGCATTAAAAATTGCTGCTTCTATTCAATACTGATTAGTTAGCTTTTAAAGTATAACTTGGCCAGTCACAATTACATTTTATTGATTTACATTTTTTATTACATTTTATGTAACGTAAAATTAATTTCTAAATTATTATCTGGTTAGCAAACATTCTTGCTAATTTGAGAATTTGAAAAAGGCTTCCTGTGAATTAACATAGGAAAAAATGTAGGAAGGACTTCAAAATTGTAGCTGCCAGAAGTACTTCACTAGTGTGGCAATACTGATGGCTAAGCCTTAAAGCCTCATCACGTACCAAAGCAGCTCAACAGTTAAAATAACCACAGAAACCTGTGCTTTTTATCCCAAAAAAGAAAAGCAGTGCTGAGAAAATCCTTCATCACATTTGAAAATACAGGTGAGAAGCTGGAGGTTTACTTCAAGAGCCAGCATGCTGCAGGGACAGCGAGGGCAGTGGGGATCAGAGGCCCAGCTCAGACCAAGCCTTTGCAATACAACCCTCTGGGTAAAGCAGCTGAGCAAATATCAGGAAAAAGAAGGCAACTGTGCTTTTTTAAAACAAAGAGATTGATTGCAACAAGAGTGGAATTTGGAGGGACTAGCAAAGGGTTTGGAATAGACACCGTGAAGTCCATCTGCTGCCATTAGGTTTGACTGCTAGCTGCTGTTGACTAATTTATAAAAAGTTCCATCATTAAGTAGTTAGTTTAGATTTAGACACATGCAGTCCTCTCAGTTTATTATTGAATATGAAATACTCAGAGCAGCAGACACAAACAGAAATGTTATGTTCCCTACAGCTCACAAAATCAAATGCCTTTCAGTTCCAGGCTTTAATTTATAGTCTTTCTTCCAGGTGGTGGCCAGGCACAGCTCCAAAGTACAGTATGGCTTACACCAGATGTTGGCACTCATGCAAGCCTAATTTTGGCAAGCAGGGGAAGAGTCAGGGCACTGAGATGCCGTGGCAGCCCTTCTGGTGTTGGCCTGGTGCCTCGAGAGCATGGCAGAATTTCATGTGTGTGTGTGTCAACTTCAGATACTTTTCCCACTTATTTTATGTTCTTTAAAGCAAAGCAAGTCTCCAGCTGTTATAGTGTGGAGAAGCAAACTTTAAGCAACCAAATGGGTGTATCTGATGCAGAAATACATAGAAATAGTTGAACTTGCAGAGTCTGAAACTCCATCTCTGCATAGCAACACATTGTGCACTTCAGCCTGATTCAAATGGGCAGCAATTTAGATGACAATGATGATGTTTTAATCACAAGTATTTCTAATTTTGGCTTTTATTGAGTGCAGTGTTGAGCCAAGATAGAACTTGAACATTTCTACAAAAAATTGATTTAAACAGTACTATAAATTCCAAATAGTTGGCCTACCAAAAAAACCCACAAGAAATAATGCTCAATTAGTGCTGATGTTTGTTAGCAGCATCATGAAAAAGCAGCTACAGACTACAAGTGAAGCAAACTCAACTGCTAAACACAGATCATGTGCTGCTTTACTATTTGGCTATTCCCTCTTGAGCATCCTGGATTGAACAGAGCAACTTCAATTCAGCCACGGCTGACATGAAGCTAAATAGCATTGCACTGCTCCAAAAAGCAGTGAAAAAGCAAGCAAAGAATCATAAAAGGAAGAGCTGAACCAATCTTCTTCTAATGCAGAGCTGAGAGAATGGAGGGCATGAAATTAAAGACTAGCTGCTAAGGGATCCCTGTAAGGGACAGAGAATTAAATAAAGGCATTATATGGACATATGGCAAGGGCAGCTGCCAGGCATGCCTGAAGCCTGGGCAAGCATCCAGTTGGTAACAGGGCAGGAGGACATGGTTTGTTGGTCTCCCAAATTTTGGTGCTGTAATACTCACTGAAACTTTGTTAAGTTTCACTGGCAGATATGCCTTAATTTAACTTTAGTTTAATATAACTCTAATTTCAATAGGATTATAAGGGGATTGGCTCTCTAGAAAAAAAATATTGAGGGGAATTAAGGTACTTCTGAGAGAAATCTTCATCTAACGTGTCCTAGTTAGCAGAAGAGACACACACCCTCTTTCAGACACGCTAAAAAGCTTTATCCTGGGGCAACATGGCAATGGTTCAGGAACACAGACAAATCTTTTCATATCAGGGGATATGCCTTGCATTTTAATCACTTGACAGAGAAGACAGCCAGGGCCCTGAACCCAGGAGGAGGCACAGTGTGGGGTGGGGCTTTATTTGGCTCACTGGGCATGGATTAGCTACCTGAGATGAAAAAAGATTCCAGTAAGAGATCACGTAATGCTACTAACACCAGTTCTATTTCCAGGTACACCAGAATTTAGCCTCAAATTAAGTCAGTAGTATGGCTCCATAGTTACCCTGGTCTCCTTCAGTGAATCATTGGCTTTGTTACCAGGGAAACTGGCTGCTGGGAAAGGGTTGAGGTTTAGGATGAATATTCTCTGTTGTGGACAAGACAAGAAATATGTAATACTGGGATAGTGTGCATCAGTCGACAGCTTTCATCTTTGAATACCTCCCCTCCCAAATTCAGCTCCCTCTTTGATAATGACCAAGATGATGAAGTGAACTCTTTAGCTAAAAGCCACCTATGACAACTGTTGTATGAGAAAATGTACACAACTTCACAAACAACCTTAAAAATCACCAGCACCAGGCATCACCGTGTTTTATCTGCAGTGAGCACTACTGTTGGATGCTCAAGGTATCTTAGCTAACAATTCTAAGATTAGTTTTGAGTTCACCACATCATTGTTTACCCAGCATATTTCATATCCAGTAACATATCTCCATGCATTTATCTGTCTTTTTAAAAAGATTTTTAAATTAAGGCACCTAAGGAATCCCTTTAAGAAGAAATTTGTTCACAAAAACCCTCCTGAAGGTGTCCTTCATAGCAACAATTTCAAATGAGGTGATGGGGGCAGGCTGAGAGCAGCATACATTCTTTTCAGTTCCTCTGCTTTTTCACTGTTGCTGACCTCTGAGAGGCACATGAATACCTTGCCTGTACCTTCACTTGTGTACAGCACACAAAACCAGACCACCCAAAACATCTGACCTGAAGAGTCTTGCTCCATGCAGGTAATGAAAGCCCATCTGAACTGGTGAGAGCTAGAAAAATCAGAAGCTTAAAGGTAAGTGCATTAATAACCTCTAAGTGAACACTATGGGTATTTTAAATCCATAGTGTGATGGATGTGGGCATTACTTTTAGTAATACAATTATAACAGCAAGGATTTTGAAAGGAGATTGATGGATTTAGGAACCCCTTATATTTGTCTACTAAGTCACCCAGAGCATTTCAACACATTAATGTTCATAGCTGATATATAAAGTCATATTTGTTAAACTTGTTTATATTTTATCCTCGTGAAGTGCATGCACATAGAACAAAATCAGTTTTGAAACTCTGTCATTTCAACAATATCCACTAGGGTTTTTTTTTCCACAATGTTTCAAAAAGGAATCTAAATAACACAGAGGTCCATTAAAGTGTTCAGCATCTCTGAACAAGAAAGACAAATCCTCCTCTATATATAATTTCAGCCTCTAAAAACTTAAGAATAAACAACAGGAAAGGACAAAAATCCATGCCTGCGTGCTGGATTCAGGGGCACATCTGTAGGAGCATGTGCACACTGTGGGGCACCTACTTAATTTAATTAGGTACACTGTACTAGCAAACTATTTCTGCCTGAGAAATTACAGAAGCCTTTGATCTACGATTCCAAGCAAAAGGGAAACAAGCTTATTGCCCACCAGGCAATTCCTACACTGTCCTGTGCTTTCCACAAAACCCCAGTCAGGTCAGCCTTTGGAAAAGGAATATACCTAGGCTGCAGGAGAGAGAATTATGAAGAGCATTCCTCAGAAGGCAGTTTATCAACAGATGGCTTGTGGGGCTTGCAGCCCATGCAAAAGGAACAAACATTTCCCTTGTGATTTATTTCCCCATGCATCTGCCAAAAACTGGTCTCCCCAAGTCCCTTGGGAATCAGTTTTCTCGGGTAAAAATTCCAGGCCTTCAATTTTTGTCCTTACTGGACCAATAGCCATGTCTAGAGCTCTTTTGATGTTCAAAAAGGCTTGATTTCTTTAAAAACATGAATATGCCCCAGTGTTAAATAAAAAAGATCCTGTATGCAAATGCCAAAAGGATCCAGGATGCAAATGCCAAAAGGTGATGCTAGGGAAGGACTTCAAAACACGGAAATTACACTGCACTCCAGGTACATTCACTATTTCCAGAACAAAAGATCATATCTGCACACATATGCAGAAAATCCCTGAAAATCCCCCACTTCCTATTGCTCCCACACAATGTTTTAGCAGCCCCAAAGCCATGAGTCTGACAGCTCCATCTGACACCATCAATACAGGCATAAAAGAATTTATACCGACACTGCTGGTGAAGGGGATTGACAAATAGCAGCTCTTCAGCTGCTAAAACAAGAACTGAAAAGAGCTTGATTTAAATAGATTTCTATCACAGGCAATTGAAAGAAATCAAGGATTCTGAACAACAAGAATGACTCTTTTAAAGCAACAATTAGAAGTCAGGCTAAGCTTTAGCTGTCTAAAAGTTAGTGCCTTATCTGAATTATTATCATTTCTTTATGCTATATCTATAGATAGGACTACATAGCAAGGAAACTTGCTCCAAATGACAAGTCAAACTCTCCCTATGATAGCCGTTTTCTTGGAAATTAATGGAAAATTAACAGGAGCATATCTGTTCTCTTTTCCAGTTTGCTTCATTCATTGAAAAAAAAAAAAAAAGAAAGAAAACCTTGATGGCATTAAATAATTCCTAAAATACATAAGAAAATAACAGAATTGTATCCTATTAAAACATTCCTTAAAAGACTGCTCAAAAAAACTATAGGATAAACTATAGGTTTATCAGAAGGATAAAGTTCAGACAAAACCCACATAATTATAATTTGTCTTGTTGCTAAAAGAATCATCTGACATCAGGAGTTTTAATTTGAAAGGAAGATTACCCTTGGCTACTAAAGGAAAAAAATTTATCACTAGAAGCCCACTGCTGGAGCAATGTTTATAATACCTTCACCCCTAAATGGGTTCCCTTGAGCAATGCTACAGAGCAGCTGGCTTCCCAGAAATATGATGGCACCTTCTACCATTTAATTGGGCCCCTGAACTTGGTGGAACTTTCAGGAGAGGTTGTCCAGGTGCAGGTTATTTGCACTCTAGGATCTACATAGTTATACACAGCATTAGGTTTTCCTACATAGGTTTTTATTTCTAATTACTCTCTTCTCCTTGATAGATATTTGCAACTCTTCATTAGAGCAATTTTGTAACAAGCCACATTACTGAGTGTAAATCATCACACAAAATCAGAAACCTGGTTACTTCACACTAGAATAAATTATTTTGCTCAACAGTTAGGCTAACACGTTATGATTCTAAGCACTTCAATTTTTTTCCATCTTTCAAAACTATGGCAGCGAAAAAATGTCTGAAAATAAGTATTTTCTTTGATATAGAGGGTCCTTTCACCAGACAGTGACAAATGTCTCAAAGGATGCAACATACAGATCACCTCAACACGAGGGAGGTTCAAGGATCTTTTGCTTTGCTTGCATTCACCAAAGAGATTTTAAGATAAATGTATACCTTAAAAAATTGCCTTATGCTGTCTCTATGTATTCACATTTGTAGCAATAGAATTGCTGCCATGCACATCTTAAAAAACGTTTGCTGACTAACACAAAAATACAGAATCTGGAGTCACAGTGTGTTCATGCAGAAAACGGACTACCTCAGGTGACAGCAGAAAAGCCACCACACCTGGAAATAAAATAAATATTGTGATAGCCTGTACACTTACCATTAGAGATAAATACCAGTTTTTATGCCTGTATGGAAAAAAAAAAAAAAACAAAAAAAACACCTACATTCATCACAGCAGTGGGTGCAGTTCAATTTGCAGTTACACAATTTTAAATTAAGACTTGCTTTTCTAAAGCCAGTGCAATTCTGCTGACGAAGTGACCTGAAAGAGGAGTTCAGCTGATTTCTCAACTGGTCTGCCAGTCATCTCCCAGGTGCCAAGCAGGAACAAAGAAATCAGTCAGCCTCCTGGGGTGATGGGGATGTGGCACAGCCTGGGTGAGGATGGCACACTGCACGAGCCAGGCATCCCTCCTCCAGGCTGCTGGGACACCCAGGTGGGTGACCTCGGGCCCCCATGTCTCCTTCAGCATTGGGAAGCTTTGGGTATTTATACAAGACACTTCCTGCACCACTGTGGCTGGACCTCCTCTCCCCAGCACCAACCTCTCATAAGCTCTTTTCTGGGATCATACAAGGGATCCTGGATACACTGATCAGGTTTACAGGCTGTCTGCACTTCTGCAGGAATGACTTGGTAAGCTATTTTTATTGCCTTTATATAACAATAACCAAGTGCTGAACTCTGACTGACAGACTATTCAAGGTTTTTCTGTCTGCGTTTTCAGTGCCCACACCAGATCAGATTCCTCTTTCTCACTCATCTTTTACGCCTTGGATTTATCATTTCTAGACTCTTTCCCCAAAAAACTCACTAGCATTTCTTTCTTGACCCAACTCCATCTATCAGCAAATCCCCTAACCACTTCTCCACGTTGGTGCTTTTTCTTCTGAAACCAATGGGAATTATTAGCTGAAGATACATTTCATGCCCTCTTTGCCCCAGTCAATACATTTAAAAAATTAAATCAGGCATCCACCTCATTACAGCCCATCCTCTCTAAGGAACTGCAAGCGTACCTCGAGTGCTACAGCCAGCTCTGGGCGCCAGCAATAATAGGAATACAACAGGAATAACAGCAGGAATGACAAGGGGCTGCTGGAGCGAGTCCAGAGGAGGCCACCACAACGATCAGAAGATGAAGCACCTCTCCTACAAGGAAAGGCTGAGAGAACTGGGTTTGTTCAGCCTGGAGAAGAGGCTCTGGGCCTCATTGTGGCCTTCTAGAACTTGAAGGGAGCCTTCAAGAAAGACAGAGAGAGACTTTTTACAAGGGTAGTGGCAAGGGGGAATGGATTCAGACTAAAAGACAGTAGGTCTAGTTTATATATTAGGAATTAGGAAGAAATTCATTACTCTGAGAGTGATGAAGCACTAGAACAGGTTGTCCAGAGAAGTTGTGGATCCCTGGAAGTGTTCAAGGCCAGGCTGGATACTCACTAGGGATATATGATTTGGCATTACATATATTGATACATTATGAAAATTACTTCAGAGTCATGATGATGACAGAGAAAACACATTAAGCTTTGGAAAAATAAATATGTATCTGTAATAATCCTAGTTATAAACCATTTAACATATATCACTACCTACACAGGTACTAAGCAAGTATCACCTTCTGTAATTCCACCAAACAGGTATCAGTGTCAGATTTCTTTCTACTAATAAGTTTAGTGCTAAGCATCTTTTTGATCTTAGCATATAAACTGTGTGTGACCCTTGTACAAATCAAACACATATTCACAGAAGTATTCAACAATAGTGTTTGTTTACAGTACAAAATAAATTCAGTTAAATCGTAAAGCTTAAATGTTTGCGAAGTTACTCAGAGGAAATAATTTATCCTATATTTTTCAAAAAGTGCTAAATTTATGGCTAAAATAAATTAAAATCAAGAGCTTTGTAAGAAAAGTTAATTTTGATTAAAAAAATATTTTATGTGAGAGACAACTGGGCAATTAAATCTCAATTTTCAAGAAAACAGGCTCCCTAATTTTCTGTCTTATTGACCCATGAAAAATGACAGATCCTAACCGCAATGAATCAAAAATATGCAGTCTAGATAATGCAGGAAAAGAAACAATCTTATCTCTAATGACCAGCAGCACATTTTTTAAGATATAATAACAACCACACATATAAATTATTACTTTCTCTAATTCATCACACCTAACACCGTGAAGAACATCAGAGATGTTCTTCTATTGCATTTCCATTTTCAGGCACCAGAGGAACGAAGCCTTTGTGCAATGCCTATCACATCTGGAAAGGTGGGGCAAAAAGGATTCTTCCAAACTGAAAATCAGAAAGCCAGCTAAGTTTTAGAACTTGGTATCCTAGATTTCAGCATGTTAAGTAAGGTGCTAAAGAATTTACTACATGGCATGTGATTAGTGCCCAGTTTAGAAGTTGTTCACATATACCTCTCTGACAATATTAATGATCCCAGCTGTGTCAAAAGTCTGCAGTTATATGGCTTCAGCCTCAAATTGAATAATTCCTTTGGTAAAAGATAATCCCATACTGTTACTTTGGGGAATTGTAAAAGTCAACAGTAAACGATCAATTTTGTCCATAATTCTGAAAGCACGAGTCAGGATTAAACTGTAATCATGACTTGTTACTAGATCAGTACATGTCTGACTAATGCCTGGCTGCAGGAGGATTTATCACCAGCTCAGTTACATCCAATGCCTTCCCACTTATATTGCTCCCTGCTGAGCTAATGGGATCTCCGTGGAAGTGTATGGGAAATTCAGCTGCTGAAGTGACAGATACACAAGTCTTGGCTGTCCCTTCTTTCTGACATGGATTTGTGGGAAGAGATGGGATGGAGCTGAGCCACGGGCTGTGGGACATGCCTGCAGAAGCACATGGCAGCACAAAGGAGCACGTGGCAGCACAGAACAACACATGGCAGCACAAGAAGCATGTGGAAACAAAATACAGCAGCACAGGACAGCACAAGAAGCACATGGCAGCACAAAACAGCATCACAGGCAGCACAAGAAGCACATGGCAGCTTGTCTCTGCATGACCTTGGGGGAAGGAGGCATCCCAGCAGAGCCCTGCAGGAGAGGATGTCACAACAGAGATGGACAAGACACTTGTTTCTTCACGCAGAATAGCTGCACCTTTATTCACACAGCTCATTAGCATTATTTATATCATTATCAGAAGGCACTGTGTTTAAATCTAATTGGCCAGCAATTTGTTTAAACTCAGTGCATTGGTTGGCAATGGCTAGTGTACATGTCCATCCAACTTTTCTCTTTCTAGATAAGTTTACATTTTTGTCTCCTGGAAAGTGAATGTTTCACATGGGTAGAATTTTCCACCCCATAAGTGTGAGCTGTCCTCTCACAAGAATAGATTCTTCTGCAAACTGATTCTCATTCTTATAATTCTTGTCTCACAGGAATTTACCAGATTAGCTGTTAGCTTAGCTGAAGTAACAAGGCCTGATTTGACAAGGCCTTCCTTTTATAAGGCTTTACCTACATACAAGAGGAGCCTGCCAGGGACTGACAGACAGGTGAACAACATGTCATCACCCCATGGAAGGACATGTAGAGTGTGTGTGGCTGACATGGCAATGTGGGACAGGTCATGTACTGAGAATTCCCACGTAAGGAAACACTGTGCCTTGCAGAACTGTATAAAACCAGCTCGTTTCTTTGAATAAATGATACAGATTCCCTGCCAGGCCAAATCAGTCGTTACAGGTATTTTTCCTTTTCTTTTGCTTTTTTCTCAAAACGGTTTTCTTTTCTTTTTTTTTTTAGCATTCGTTCTGGCTTGTATTCTTCGTCATATTCTTTAATATGTGTTAAAGAAGGAGTATTCTCCCTTTTTTTTTTAAGGTGTCCACATAATTCCTTGAAGAGATATCCTTGTAATGACTTAAAGAAGAGAAATTGAGATGCACTGGGAGGTGGCCATTCTTCCAGGGGCAGTGAAGCACACACATTCCCACAAAGGCCCAGAAGAAAAACCAGGAACTACTAGTTTCTTTATTTATGTACAGTGCAAGCAACTGTCAAAAAACCTCTGTCAAAGACCAGGCAGGATTTAGCCTTGAAAAATAAGGATACTTATGGCACCTATACAGTCTTCTTTGTGTGTTTTGTATGACTAAGTTGAATGAATGAATGAATGAATGAATGAATGAATGAATGAATGAATGAATGAATGAGCAGGCAGCTGGAACAATTTTCTCTGGTACTGCAATTTGTATGATCTGAATTTTTGTGGACTCTGCACATTCAAGAAGGCCTGGAAAAAGACATGCATTTAGTTATGAAAACCTCAGTGTTGAAAATATATATGAAATATATAGCTGCACTGCTGCCTGCTGTAAATCAGCCTCTCTCTTGTTTGAAGTTAAGCTATATTTCATCCAGCTGCAGATGAAAATGACTCAGGGTAGAAAATGTCCCAGCACATTGTCTAGAAAGGGCACTAGTATTGGTGATCTAGGTCTGAAATCCTGAATTATGAGGACCCAGAGTCACTGTTAGACCCAATATTAAAGTATCCTGATTCCTGAGTCCCAGCAGTAAAACGAAGTATACAAGGATTTTTCCTATTCCTTGTGAGGTTAACTTGCTACTGATGCTGCACATGGAAATAATCAGCCCTGCCATGATTCCTTAGATATCAGGGACTAAGTTTAGGCTTATTAAATATGCTACTGTCTCACTTCAATACTGAAAGATAAAGTATATAAAACTATGCAACAGAACAAGGATTCCTCTGCAGACTGTGGTGATGACCATGGGGAAGCAGCTGTGTGCCTGCAGCCCGTGGGGATCCGTGGGGATGCAGAGATCACCCACAGCCTCCAGGGAAAGGACTCCTCTCCCAACAAAATCAACACACACACACTAACCCAAAAACCCCACCAAAAAAAAAAAAAAAAAAAAAAAAAAAACCAAATACACACACACACAAAATAGATGTCAAGCTCTTAATTTTGCAAAAAGATCTATTATATTTTGCAGCAACAGGAAGTCTTGTTTGCCAAAAAATTTACTTTGGTAAGTAAAGATACGCTACAGTGCAAAGTATTTTCAATTAATTCTCTAATAACATCCTGTGATGCAACATTCATTTTCAGCCATATGGAGTGAGGTCACAGATATTTTGTATTGTATGCTGCTGTATGCATAGGCAGCGTAGTGGGCCACTCATGCTCTCTTATAAAGAGTACTGGGATTTAAAGGTAATTTATGGAGCTTTGATAAAACCAGCATTCCTTTTCAGCTGAAAAAAAATCAGTTTTGGCTTTTGTAGTCCAGTGTTTCTCATTAGTTTATGGTCCCACTGTAACAGAAGTGCAAGAGTTACTGAGAAAAAAAAAAAAAAAAAGAAATATCCATCCTCTCACTTACTGAGTGCTACATGTTCTGTGGTGTCCAAAGACTGAAACCTAATTGTGCTTGGATCTGTAAAAACATGAAATGAGATCACATTACTGTCAGTAACCTGAATAGAAGATTACACCTGGGTCCATTCTGGGGCAGTTGGCAGAACTGAATCTTGAGGAGATTAAATGAGATGAATGTCAAGAGACTGGAGCAATAAGACAGAGAATCACTTCCAGATATAAGGCATACATGGCAAAGGAATAAAGGATGAATAAAGGTTCAAGGTGAAAACTGATCAAGCTGTTCTGGGCCTTCACACAGAAGGATAAGGAATTGAACCTGGCAGTAAATCTACCATCAAGTAGGACATACCCAAAAGAAGCCAGTGAAATAATTTGGAGGCAGAAATATCAACTCAGATAAAGAAAATGATTTTAGGAGTTGAGTGACATGTAATTCAAGAGGATTACAAAGAAATAATAGGGCAAAATATAATCTACCCTGCTTAGACAACAGTTTTACTTCTAATAAGCAAGCTCCCTTCTTGATAAGGCTTTTTATGCATTTCTACTCTCCAGATATGCAGGTAAGGTCTATGTCTTCTACTCTGTTACAGCTCAGTACCAATTTGCCACAGAATTTAGAGCAGTTGGTTAAAAAACTTGATCTGGTTCTTTAGAATAAGGAATGTCATAAGCAGCATCATCCTTAAGCATCGTGACTGGCTTGTATCTTTATTAATGAAGTTAAGTACCTTACAGCATTAGTTCAGTGTCACCCTGTTCTTTTGAAAGTTTTAAAGTTCTTTTAAAAGTTTTCTATGCCTTCTGATATTTATATATTTCTACTGCAGTTTCTCATGCACTGTGCATGTAAATAATGATTGTTTTGCATTCTTCTTTGTGGAAGGAGAGAATTGAGACTGTTGGTTTTACCAGTGTGGTTGGAGAGGTGGCAATTTCACCCTCCAACCCACTGTCACTTTTAGAATTCTATGTATTGCAAGGTCAGAAATCAAGTTCCCTCCTTTTACTCTTTTTCTTCTTTTAGATCGAGAGTGAGTGCATGAATTATTTCGTGTAGTAGTGCAACAGTCCAGGTCAAAATTAGAGAATTTAAGAGAAGGGAAGAATCTAAGATTCTTGAATAATGAAAGGACACTTCCAGCAATCCAAATCCACTGACTTTTATGTCATAAGCATCAGTTATTGCATTGATGATCATGGATCTGGTCATTCAAAGCATATGGAGAAAAGCTCCACCAAATTAAATTTAATTAAAATTTATTGATTATTCTTCTGAACTCTTACATACTTTCTGTAGAATTTGCACACCATTAGTTTTCACTGAAATGGTTTAGATGAACACAATAAGCAGAGAAGGGGTTTTTTTGAGAAAAGTTAACCTTTTTATTTTACTGTTACTCTATTCCAGAAGAACCAACTATATCTTCCGTATGTCTGGTTAGGGAGCCTAAAATAGACACCATGGAAAGAAGGAGCCAATATGAGATTCAATACTTGTAAGGAAGAATCACCATTGACTATGCTGACTTTAAGCTTCATTAGGATACATTACTCAGCTCCTATCTCCCTTCCTGTAATACTATGAATTCCCAAGTTTTACCCTAAGCCTCTCAAGGCTGTAAAACTATTTAATTATTAGACAGCAGATCAGTTTTTGAAACAGCTTCTTTCCTCTGAATCATGCTTATATTGTAGATTGTTGCAGGCACATTCTTCTTTCTTTCAGGATTTTTCATAGAGGTGCACAGAGAGAAATGAAAGGGAAAACAATTTCTATTTCTGCTCCTTGTTTTTCCCATGTGGAATGTGTTTGGAGAATTGCTTACCTGGGGTGATTGCTTGATTGGATTCAGGTGAGGATTGTTTGAGCCTGATGGCCAATCCAACCCACCTGGGGCTGGACACAGAGAGGGTCAGGAGTTGTGAGTTGGTCAGATATGGTAGCCACAAAAAGCAGGTTTGCAGTTTTAGTATCTCCTTTAAATAGGATATTAATGTATTTTAGTATAGTTATGATAAAAAAATCATTCAGTCTTCTAAACTAGAGTCAGACCTTTCTTCCCACCAGCTTCACCTGCATTTATAATAGCAGATCTCTCACACAGGATTGGTACAGAAGGATCCCAGTTTCCCACTTCCATCTTCCAGTCCTACAGAGTGGCTGAAGAGGGGACAGCAATTGCTTTATGTTTGCACAGGCTGTCACAGTATGGATGGCTTTGCACCAAAGCCAAAATCTGCAATGGAAACTGCTGCACTACCTGGCTTGGAAACCTCAAGGGTGACCTCCTGTTTAAACTAAATGTAAGTATAGACTTGCCCTGTGTTCCAGGTGACAAATTAATTTGTTTTACTCAGTTTTCTGTGCTTATTGATTTTGTAGAGGTGTAATAGGAGAGCAGAGTTTGCAGACCTTGTTTCCAAGCTGTGCTACGAGCAGGCAAGAAGGGCTGCGTGGCAAATGAGCCTTCCAGCACCCAGGCCCACCTGTCTGCCAGCCACTGAACCTCTGAGAGGACACAGCTCGCCTCTGCCACTTCAAAGGCCCAGGATAATAAAGGTATTTAAACGGTTTCTTTTGCATTTTACCATAACTATCCAGAAGGGATAGCACAGGAGGTAGTAAGAGCACAGCTTTTTCCTGTCTCAAGAGGCTCAGTGAGCAGCAACCATCACTAATCCAACAGTTGATGATACTGCTCAGATTGCAGAAGGTCAAAACTTGTACAGTTGATAAGTGAACTAAATAACATCATACTTTTTTTTTTTTGTTTGTTTGTGTCTAGTAACTTCATGTTTCATACACACAAGTCCTTGTTTTACATCAAATGTTTGAAGCATCACATTTGAAAGGGGACAAAACCGAGGACCTTAATTTTTAAATTCCCTGGGGGTTTCTCAAATAGTGCAGCTTTAAAATATCTCTATGCAAAGCTACAAAAGCCTGAAATTAATTGAAGACACTAGCGTTCAGCTAATGGAATTTGGCTTAGTCATGATTATTAAGGACATAAATCTGGAAGTCAATGACAACGATTAATTGAATTGAAAACACAATGTTAAATTAAGCATTGGGTTGCTTATTTTTAATTTAATCAGAATAAATTTTGAAAAATGCCCTAGCTTACTTTGGATTTGCTTTATAAGCATAAAGCCCTACAAGCAACACTCTAGCACTCTCAGCACCTCTGCTCCAGATGGAAAAAAAATAAGTTCTCTTCTGCACTAAGTACTTTATATATAATTATGTTGCAAAGAAAAGGATAAGTTCTCCACGTGTGGATAACTCTTAAATCAGATGTTAATAAGAAACTGGTAATGCAAAACACCAAGGATGGCATAACATAGAATTACTCAGGAAGGTGAGTCTATGGGATGAGGTCCACAACCCATTAAAAAGAGTTGTGGCACTAATTCCAGTGGTTTCACCTGAGCTGAGTCCACTTAATTTCACTGCTATCTTTGAGGAAAAATGAAAAGAATAGAAGTCTGGATTTTTCTATTAGTTTTCAACAAGGGGAAAGAGGTAGAAAACCCAAGAGACTGGTCACAATTAAGAAAATTTAAGATTTCATGAGGAAGACTAAACTAGCAGAGTTACTTGTACATTTCTCTCTCAACTTCTTAACCCAGCAACACCAAAGCAATAGATGGCAAAATATTTGACAAAGATTTGTCAAATAAACTCATTATTCTGTTTATACTAAGTATTCTTTTAAAATATCTCTGTGCCTGAAATAAAATACCACAACTTGATCACAGACCAATCAACAGCTACAAATCAAACAAATACCTTTTTGAGTCAGCTGGTTACCATCATCAAAAATCTGCACTTAAGTGCTGCTAATTCAGTGAAGAAAAAAATTACTTTAATACTAAATCCCAAGGACTATTACTAAAGAGAAGAGCAATCCTGCCTTCCAAACCCCTATAACATAGATGCCAGAGATCAAAACTGGGGCATCAATTGTTAAATGGAAGATATTAGCACCAAGCGGTAATAAGTCCAAATACAAACTCCATAGCCTTGAAGATGTATTTTCCCTCTGTGCAGCTCTGTGTGGATTAGTCAAATGTCAGCAAAGTGCTCTCTGCTGTCCCTTTATCAATTAAAGATGGCCAATAGTTTCATAAGAGAGAATAGCACTTAAACATGCATATAATCATTAATGATATAAAGCTATTCTTAATTATTTAAAGGTTCAAATTAGGTAGTATAAATGCTTCAGCACTGCAAAGACAGGAAGAAACAAACCCTATCCATCTCCCTCACTGAGAGGCTATCTGAGCTTTATTGAAATAGTCTGTCAGCTTGCAAAGGGTTTCTTCCTGTGAATGTCACTTTTTTACAGTTACTGCCATCAAAGTCTGCTTCTACAGGTAATTTTCTTAATGAATTACTATTTTCTTTGAACATAATTTAAAAAAGAGAACACAGTAAATAAAAAAACCATCTGAAACCTCCAAGAAAAGGAACAGAATGTAGAATGCAACATGAAATATTTACATGAAGGAGCCACGAAAGTATCATCAGCTGACATTTACTCAGGCTTAGGACTGTACAATATTACTATTCAAGGAAAGAAGACAATTGGTGGGTAAATCTTGCTTATGTGAACAGTCCTGCTTGGATCAGTCAGTGCTCTTTCCAGTAAGATGAATGCTATTGTCAGAAGTATATTAACACTCATAAAGGACCAGGATGTGAAATTTTGCTGTATTGAATTGTTCCAGTGAAACACAACAAGCCTTTCCATGGTGCTCTCAGAGGTCATTTACCCTTCACATAACTTTTTTACCTTTCCTCTCTGTTCCTTACACTTTTCAGTCACTAATCAGTGTTTTGCCTAGTCACCATCAGTCATCATTTGCCTACTCCATATTATCTATGCACTGCTAACCTCACTTTTCAGTCTTGTATGTTACTAAGTGGTCAAAAAGAAGTCAGAAAGCCTTATAAATGCATGGAATTCCAAGGATCCCATTTTAAATGGAAAAGAAATAATACATACTATTATGAAGTTATTTTGGCACAGAGATCCAGGACATCCAATTGCAATTCCAGGAGCAGACCAAATACTTCAGAAGCAGCACAGCAAAATGAAGAACAGCAAGAAGTTGTTCAGAAATGGAAATTCAGACAGTTGGAAGGCAGAGGTCAACTCCAGAACACTCCACTACAAATTACTCTAAAAGATCCTCTTTCTCTGATCCTAACCAAGATGCACAGTGAGAAAAGTCTTTGAAAGAAACCTTAGAGTAGATAATGCTGGTCCTTCTCCAGCAGATGTCAACAGAAACACTGTGTGAAGATCTGCTCATCCCTGAGATGCCTCTGTGCTGGCCTGACCCCAAAATCCATAGGCATGAGAGAAGGACAGGAAGCTCTGC